GACCTGTACTCACTCATCTATACATAGACCTGTACTCACTCATGCATACATGGACCTGTACTCACTCATGCATCCATAGACCTGTACTCACTCATGTATACATGGACATATATGGCTGCCTAACTTCTGTTTCTAGTTGAATTTAACGGCGTGATTTTAGCAGCAACAGACCTTGAGAGCAGTTATGATCTGGCTTTATTAGAGATCACGTTATTCAAATTTTAGTAACAGCTTTAGCAGTAGTTCACTGTTACTTAATCATCAATGTACAAAATGGATATTATTAGAGGGTTAGTAAATAGTACACAAACATCACCAAGTATGACAGAAGATGTTTTTCCAGAGCTCTTCATCTCACCAGGTGGAACCAGGTGGAACGTTGTGACCGTAGAATAACTCACTGCAGCTCAGACCAGAGCTCGGCCCACCAGTGATAGTTCAAAGTAAAAAGTGTTATTAAAGATTGAAGCATTATAGATGTACTAATGCAAGTTGTTTTTCAGCCATATTTGAGGAACTTCAGTCTCTGGAATGCCTCCTTGCAGAGCTTTACAAGTGAGTTCCTCTTTGTTTGGTCAGCTGTTGGTGTGTCTTGCAATGTATTCTTTCAAAAGTTTCTTAATGCTCTTTTTAGCGACAGAATGACCAACTAACCAGCAGAGTAACTTTGCTCCAAAAACAGATGTGGTGTGGAGTCACTATTTGATTTGATTTACCCTGCACTGATCTCTTCATCGACACCAGCCTCAGACTGATCTCAGATGAGTGGATAGGTGTCAGTTTTTACATCAGTGTATGGAGCTGAGCAGGGCTGTGTGAGGCCTCGGTCTACAGAGAGTGTAGGACTCGGCAGCGTGCAGGGCTCCATGTGCATATACATACTTTATACAACATCACATTTGTGTTACGCTCTGTTCAGCTCATGTTCACTTCTCACTGCGTTCTATTAAGAAAGCGGTTGTTGTTATTCCAATGATGGATGGCCCAATAAATAACTGTCTCTTTAAGGCATTGTGTTTGGATGATGTACATGATTTGGTCATAAGCTGCTGTTGGAGTGAAATGAAATGAAGTGAAAGTCACTACATTTGGTCATTTATGTAAAAACTCTGGTTTAGTGGAATAAATGTTCCAGCTGAAGATCCAATTTAACGTTATCTGTTGTTTAGTTTCATTGACCAGATACAGTGGCAGAGTAGTGACATGACCGTTTGTGATGAGATCCTAGAATAGTGGATTTGGTCTAGTACCACTTATCTAGTTCTATCCAATCAAAGACCAAGTGGAACCCTGAAGATAACACTTTTCCTAGTCCTCCACTAGCGTTTACATTGTTGAACCATCGGTGTACATTTGTGTAAAACAGCGAGTACGTCATCAGTGAAGACGTAACACACCCTTTGTGTTCTGCATGAAACATAACTCCTTATCAATGATATGGAGTTCATAGTGTTCAAAACATCAAATGCTTCACTGTGATCCAGTTCCACTGCAACTGTCATTCTGCCCAGTGAATGTTAACCCGTCACAGTACACCTGTGTTTGCTGCTCAGGCATCTGGACAGCAGCAGCAACGAGAGGCCCGACATCAGCTCACTGCAGAGACGAATTAAGGTACAACCGTCTCCATCACCATCATCTCTTCATCCTGTTGTTCACGTAAAAAGAGCTCCACTAAAGTAGAGTCCACTAAAGTAGAGTCCACTAAAGTAGAGCTCCACTAAAGTAGGCTCCACTAAAGTAGAGCTCCACTAAAGTAGAGCTCCACTAAAGTAGAGTCCACTAAAGTAGAATCCACTAAAGTAGGCTCCACTAAAGTAGGGCTCCACTAAAGTAGGGCTCCACTAAAGTAGGGCTCCACTAAAGTAGAGCTCCACTAAAGTAGGGCTCCACTAAAGTAGAGCTCCACTAAAGTAGGGCTCCACTAAAGTAGAGTCCACTAAAGTAGAGCTCCACTAAAGTAGAGTCCACTAAAGTAGAGCTCCACTAAAGTAGGGCCCCACTAAAGTAGGGCTCCACTAAAGTAGAGTCCACTAGAAGGAACTAGAAGTTACAAAACTTCTGATGTGCACGACCAGGCGCCGCCACCACTTGTGGTTACATGAGCTTCACTACGGCGAGTAGAAGCTACGTTTCAAGCAGATAACGGTTAACTGACACCACGACAACAGCACTCATTTGGACTAAATGATTTATGAACTCAACACAGTTAGACAGAGACAAGTCTACATTAAGTGACCGCAGTTCAGTACAACTGTATTTATGCCCGTGCACTCAAAGAGGTTCCACTCCCATTAAGAAGACATTCTTCCTCCTTGCTTACAAAGGTTTGGTCTGCTGCCAAAAAGACAAATCATGGCTGCTAGGATGCTCAGGATTGAGGAGAAATAATAAGTCTCCTTGTCCTTCCAGAAAGTGACACATGACATGGACATGTGCTACGGCATGATGGGAAGTCTGTTCCGCAGTGGATCCCGGCAGACGCTGTTCGCCTCCCAGGTGATGCGCTATGCTGACCTGTACGCCGCCTCCTTCATCAACCTGCTGTACTACCCCTTCAGCTATCTGTTCCGAGCTGCACACGTGCTGGTGAGCTTCACTCTGACCCACCTTTGTGTCTCTGCACTTTAAAGGCTTTCGGATTCATGGCTTTACGTTGAAAACTCTCCCTACCCAGATGCCCCATGAGTCAACAGTGGAGCACGCCCACGTCAGCGTCATCGACACAGAGTCGCCACTGGCCACGCGGAACCGCCACGATGTCGACCTCGAGATGGAGTGCAAACGGCACCAGCTGACTCGGTCCGTCAGCGAGATCCAGCCCCCCCACTTCTTCCCTCAGGCTCCGCAGGAGATCACGCACTGCCACGATGAGGACGATGACGAGGAGGAGGAGGAGGAGGAGGAGGAGGAGGAGGAGGAGGAATAGGAGGTGGTGGTGGAGGAGGAATAGGAGGTGGAGGAGGAGAAGAAGGAGGAGGAGGAGGAATAGGAGGTGGAGGAGGAGGAGGAATAGGAGGTGGAGGAGGAGGAATAGGAGGTGGAGGTGGAGGTAGTGGTGGTGGAGGAGGAGAAGGAGAAGGAGGAGGAGGAGGGGGAGGAGAGCAGAGGGGTCTCAGATAAGGCTTGCTGTCACATCCAGTACATGCTGGTTTTGAAGCTGATCTTTTGTCTTTGTTGCTTAACTACAGTCTGATCCCTTTTACATTTAGAAGAATCATTTAGCTTAACCTCTCTCAAAGGAACAATTCACCCTAAAACTCCACTGTCATAGACTTTGCATTTTTGGGACCATATTGTTTTTTTTTAGGATGACAAGAATACTGGCCTGTGTTACAGAACAGCTAGAAGAAGAAACAGACACCGACAGCCTGAACAGAGCTGATGACGAGATGTCTGGATCATCGACTTGCCCCAACAAACCTTCATCCTTTCTTTGGGGTTATTTAATAGGAATTGTGGGAAATGTATGAACTAAATAACAGCACATCTGAGGGCGGATTTTTACTTGGAAGAAAAGTGGACTGCAGTTTGTGCACTAAAGATTCAATCGTAAAACGCTTCTATTCCACAGGAGTGTTGTCTGTCGAGCAGACAGCTTGCAATGTCCAGCTGTGGTGAGGGGAAGTCAACAGGAAGTTGCTAATAGCTCATGAGAGCAGCTTAGAGCCTCACCCAGTGATTCACCTCTGTGTTGTAAAGTTGGAGAATGTGAATGACGTCTCACCCTGAAGTCCTTACTGTAATACAGTGTAGATACTACAGCCTGCCTTATTCATCTCGCTGTGAGACCATACAGAGTGCATGAGGACTATTGTTCTATTGTTAAGTATATTTTGAACACCAGTGGTGGATATGGAAGGCCATTTCTGCCAGATAATAACAACACTTAGGTTTAAATGAAAAGATGCTAAGTTTCAAAGACAAACTTCTGAAACGATTTACCCCATAACGCTTAATTTCGGTCATGATGACATCAGCTGTAACTGCTGGATGAGAGCAGTGCAGAGCTAACCAGTGGGGCACGATCACATGCACTAACGTGCACTAACTTGCGATAAAAAGCAGAGGCCGCATATAAGAGGTGGGCGTAGTCATGGTGACGTCACCCATTGGTTTGTGGACTGATGTTTTGAAGCCGTTGCCATTTTGGATTATGGCCGTCGCCATGTTGTTTTTTCAACCAATGAACAGAAGTGACCATATTTGGAATGCACAGGAGTGAGGTAGAGAGGGCGTATACTTCTCTGGTAGAGACCCGTCCATCACACCAAGAGAGAAGTAGAGTCGTTGTCTCATAGACTTCCATACAATCTCACTTCTTTTTGCAGCCAGAGGAGTCGCCCCCTGATGGTCAGTAGAGAGAATGCACGTCTTAAGACACTTCAGCATCGGCTTTAAGACTCAGAACCGGAGGTTGCCGTCTGGGTAAAAGCTGAGCGGCCGGTCGGCAATGTGAACAAAAAGAGAAGCTCTGATGACAACACAGAGTGAATCAAAGAGTTGTTTGTATTCATATTCTATTAATGCTATAAATGTTGCATACTACTCCTTTACGTGAACGGTTACAATTTTAACAAAGTCAAATTCATGAGATCATAAACTGTAAATATGGGATGAGTCTAAACACCTTTAATTATACTAATTACTGTCGTCATTGTGACGCACTATTTCTCCTTGGCAGTCATGGTCTTCCATGCTGCTGATCACTGTTAACATGCTGGTACTGTAATGTGAGAGGTGAGGACTCCACACACATGCTGTCAACAGGACCATGGTGCAATAATGTTTTAGTGCTGATGCGGTGGTTTCCATGTGTTGTATTACTGCCTTGATGTGAAGTCTGATCTGCTGGAGTGATCACAACGTATTGATCCCTGAAAGTGTGTCTGACTCCAGAAGGCTGATCTGTTCACTGAATGTGCTTCTGCTGCTTACATGAGCTGAAGAAGCCTCACCTCTACTGTACTTCTACTAGTTTAAATTGTGCTGCTGACAGCTGATTGTTGCACCTTGTGTTGTTTATGGACTCATTATGGGATGTTTGGAGCTGCTCTGAAGCAGCACCAACAGTTTCAGCACATTATACGATCACACAGCTGTTAGCATGCCTGTGTTCGCTCACTGAGCTGTGATAATCACATGCTCAAGAGTAATGTCAACCAAAAGGTTTCTTGTTTTACCAGCAATAGCTCTGCATGAGTTGACGTATTTGAGAGGATGTCTTAGTTTTGAAGACATGGTTTGACTGATTTGTATTAAATTTTCTGATCGGATATTGTGACGAGTTTCATTTTTTTCCGGTCAAAGATATTCACAATTCCGATATTCTCTTCACCATTTTCATCTGTAAGTAATTACACTGTAGAATAACCTGTTACAGTAAAAGTACTAACACGTTAACTTATGATTATAATGATTATATTCACTGCTGATTATCGTCTCCATTCATCTGTTGATGGGTTTGTATAACTAGTGAAAAGAAGTAAGAAATGACGTCACAATTACTCCGAGCCCAGAGTGGCACCTTCACAAGGTTTGTTTGTCCAAGGTTGTAACTGTAACTACTCCTAACATATTGTTAAATAACTCTGCATTTGATTATTGTTTATTCAAGTGCAAAAATATTGTACATGCAGTTACACAAATGTAAAAATATATTTAAGCACATTTCTGTTATAACAAATCCTATTAATTTAGGGTTCCACATTACTCTATCAAAGATCAAACTATTAAAGAAAATATCAAAGACAAATCAAACACAAGTTATTACAATAACTTTGTTCAAAGCTTAAAATCCTTTCAAGGGTGCGTTTGCACAATCCCACGTGAAGTATTTCATGTGTTTTAAAGCCACGTTTAAAGTCTTCAATGTACTCACAATACATTTCCATTTCAAGTGTACAGTAACCAGCCAAAGAGCTGCTTCTATGACTGTGTGTTTAAGTATCTCATCATTCTGACTTTCTATCTCAGAATTATGACTTTCTATCATAGTTTTGACTTTCTATCTCAGAATTTCGACTATGGGGATATTTTTATTATCAAGTCTAACTTTTAATTATTTTTAAATTTTTTATTTTTTTTGCTGGCGGATTCGCGGGCCACATAAAATGACGTGGCGGGCCGGATTCGGCCCGCGGGCCTTGAGTTTGAGACCCCTGCCTTACATGGAGCTGTCTCTACCTCCAGAAAGGCTTCATTCATCGGGCAGGATGCGCTCAAATGCTGAGCATTGCTTTTGATTGTTTCTCTTGTTTGAGTTTGTCAATCAAATCAATGCGCATTGCTCTAAGCAACCTGAGGGCTGATCACACCGAGATGTGTTGCTACCAGGAGGCAACCGCCGCTTCTGCCGAGTGAAGCTGGAAGTGTCTTAAATCCTGCATTATCTCTAATGTCCACCAGGGGGCGACTCCTCTGGTTGCAAAAAGAAGTCTGATTGTATGGAAGTCTATGAGAATATGACTTCTATATATGTGACTGTTTAGCCCACATCTTCACAGAGACCTGGATCCATGGTGGTCCAGGATCAAGCTGAACTTGATTGGACATGAGGACAGAGAGCAGGACTCTGGTGGACCAGAGGAGGAGGACTCTGTGTTTACATCCTGATGCTTGGTGCTCAAACACAGTCACAGTTGATGAACAATGTTTTCTTCATGTTGAGTTGTTAATGTGAAGATGTCGGCCATATCATCTGACCAGAGAACTGTTTCTGTTACTGCAGTCTACATTGATGATGCGTGTGGGGCGAGTGTGTCATCGATGAGCGGTGCGACTCCGTGCACGTCGCTGAAAGATCTGGAATATTTGAGCTGTTATACGCTTCTAACTACCGCGAGAACAAGGTGCCAGAGAGGAGCCATGGAAAAACAACATGGAGTCGGACTAGAATGTAATTCAACAATCTTTTCTTTCTGAAATCATAAAAAGTGTTCAAACATTACTGTCAAGCATTTATTCGCTTTTTTATTTTTTAGCAGAAAATGTCGTCAACGTCGATTTCAAAACTTATTGCCCAGTTTAAACATTTGTTAGAGAAGTAATATTGTAACTTTATAAATATAAGTAACTTTGATGAAGCAAATTTAAATGGTACTTATTACATTTTTAAGAGGGTAACTAGTAATATGTAACCTATTACTTTCAGAAGTAGCCTTCCCAACACTGCATATTTTATGTTGTTTCTATGTTTTATCTTTTGTATCGTTCATCTCTTGTCTTCAGATTTCATCCTTTATTATTTGTCTTTCATGTTTCATCCTTTAGCTGCCATCCTTCATCCTCTGTCCTGTCCTTTCCGTTGCCTCACGGCCTTCATCATCATCCCTCCAGCTGTGTCTTCCTGTCGGGCAGCGGAGGAGAAAACACGTCCTCCACCAGCACCTCCTCAGGTGGACGAACAGGGAACGCAGTCGGTCTCTCTGTTTTACTAACTCGCACGTACACCGAATCCCCCGTCGCTGCGGAGCAGATGCCAGGCTCCTCCCTTGGCTCGTGATTGGTCAGTGGTGCTGATACGTCAGCGTGGTTGCTGCTCCCTCCTCCCCTGATGGTATGGTAGATGTTGTCTGGAGCGTTAGAGCTGTTCACATCTGTAAGACGGACATAACAGTTTCACAAAGGTCGCTGCCGCTACCAGACAACATGGCAACGGCCGTAATCCAAGATGGCGACGGCGAAATCAACGCACTCGATCGAAACAGCAGTCCACAAACCAATGGGTGACATCACGATGACTGCGTCCACTTATACACAGTCTATGGTCAGAACATGACGTAATCACGGCCTGCATGTCGTGAGTGTAGCTCTGCAAGTGGTTGCAGTGCTGAGATTAAACGCTTCTATTTTCACCTGATTCATGCTAACGCGCTGCTTCTCACTGCGTTTCTGTTGAACACACTACACTGCTCTACTTAGGAACTT